CTCTCTCTCTCTCTCTCTCTCTCTCTCTCTCTCTCTCTCTCTCTCTCTCTCTCTCTCTCTCTGCTGATACCAGATATTGACCACGCAAAGGTGTTGTCTTGACGCCGGTACTGGAGTGCTGAAGACGAAGCTGGAGCTATTTCGAAAAAGGGGCACAGTGCCCTCAACCTTGTTGGAACAACCAAGGCCAGCAAGGCCCTCCACCAAGCTCGAGCCAGGATCCTGGACCTATCACGAAAACGGACCCAAAGAAAGAAAAAAAAGGTCCATGCAAACACCCTCGGAAAAGAAAAGCAGCACAACTGATCACGACCTTTCCTTTCACAGAGGGGTCCAGTGCCCAAGGCTGGATTATAATTCAAGCCAGGAAACGGGCCCAGCAACCCTCACAATATGAAAAAGTGGGAGGTTGTTGTACTCTGTGACGCTCACCGACCAAGTTCGAACCAAGCTCCTGGACCAATCACAAAAGACAATCCACGCAAAGAAACTCGAGACGGAAATGAAAGAAAAACTATCGAGTAGATCTTGATATGCTAAGCAAGAAATCATGAACCAGGAATGAAAACACATGCTAAGAAGAAGTAAAACTGTTTTTTTTCTAAGGAAAACTGTTACCTTGATCTGAATATCCTATAGGAAATCACACTCAGAGGTACCTTTCCTTTTGCTTCAACATACCATCGCGCACTATAACTGGGGATTGCGCAATTCCAAAAGATGCATTTTGATATAATTTATGTTGCCAATCTAGGCTACCAGAGTAGCCCGGGGCAACTTGCCCGGCCGGGGCGAAACAAAAATAAAAATAGAAGAATATATATATTCTCAATTTAACTTTTATGTCAAATTTGGTAAAGACTTTTGATGTGGTGCCGTTTCGCGGCACATCTACCCAGGCAAAACGGGTCACATGCGAGGCCCGTTTTGCCTGGATGGATGTCCAGCGAAATGGCATCCCCGTACTTCCACCCGATGCAGCAGCATGCAAACCGCATCTCTCAAGAACTGACTACGAAACGTACTGGTGATTTAACAAGCAGCACTAACAGCAGTGCCAGTGACCAGGAGGAGAGGCTGTGCCAGCCATATCCGATTGCCTGAGCGAGAGACCTGTGGGGCAAGGAAGGGGAAGGTCGTAGGGGGAGAGAGAGAGAGAGAGAGAGAGAGAGAGAGAGAGAGAGAGAGAGAGAGAGAGAGAGAGAGAGAGAGAGAGAGAGAGAGTCGGCAAGGGACATACCATACCTGGTGGTCACCAAGACGACATCAAGCATGGTATATTCTTTGTTCAGGCATCGGTGAGAGCGGCACTGTACATTGGCATAGCGCATGCCACGGTAGTGGACACAGTAGATGATGGCATAGCCTGGGCTGGTAGTGGGACAAGCGAGAGCAGAGAACCACTATGCTTATTGTATTGATTGTTCGGAGGCAAGAAGAAAGCTTCTTATTGTCTAGAGACTTGAACATTTCAATTCTTGTGCTGGTGTGGTCATAGCTTTGTCATTTCTGCTAATTGCCTGGCCACCATGTGCATTTCTGGTCGTGAGAGTTCATTGCATTTGTAAACCAAGTTTCTTCCCTGGTATCTCCTTGCACAACAATTTTCCTTACTGCAACCTGGTTTGAACAACAACAAAAAAAAAAACCTCATTCTTACTACCGTCTTCCTGGAGTCCTGACTGCATAGCAATTGCCATTACCAACAGGAGAAGAAAAACAACAACGAAAAAGGCAGTTGTTGTTTTTTTTACACAAACAGGAAAATCGTCCTTACTGTAGCTTGGTGAAAGTTCTCACGCATAGCATTTCCTGAAGATCCCATAAGCTTACTAATGCGTCAGCGCTCCCGACTGCAAAGTACCTGTCAAAGGAACAGAGCACAGCAAAACATCGAGATAATTAGAACACAATTGGTGGATATGCAAAAAACGATGCATTAATGGGGTACGGAGCAGAATAAATTCATGCCAATGATGTCGCAGCCTTCAAGCAACAGCAAGCCCAGAAAGCGGAACTGCGACAGGGTGTGTGGAAGCGGCGGAGGGAGGAAGAAATTAGATCTTAGCAACAGAACTTGATCCTCTGGATACCAGAGCAATCAATGCTGGCAGGGTTTTTTTTTTTTTTTTTTTTTTT